GGGGGCATTACGATTAGCATGTATAGTGTTGGGGGGGGGCATGGGGAGGGCTGTGCAACACAGAGAAGACAAGTGGTGATTTTACAGCATCTTACTACGCTGATGGACAGTGACTGTGAATGGGTATGTGGGGGGGACTTGGTGAAGGGGGGAACCTAGTAAACATAATGTCCTTCATGTAATTGTAGATTAATGATACCAAAATAAATAAATAAATCCAATAAAAAAGAATAGCAAATTGTATTTAAACTATGCAGTATTATGTTTATAAATAATAGGAGAAAACGACAATATTATTTGATAGGATAACAGTGAGTTGTTTTCTACTGTTATGATAATCCAATACCTGCATAAAATCTATAATCTTGAAACAACACATTTGTAAAAAACTGTGGCAAAATACACATAACATAAAATTTATAATTTTAACCTTTTTTTATGTGTACAGTTCAGTGGCATTAAGTCAAACATAAATTTTTTTAAATTTCACAAACAAAATAGAAATAGACTCATAGACACAGAGAGAAGACTGGTGGTTACCATGGGGAAGGGGTTGGGGCAGGTGGGTGAAATAGGTGAAGGGGATAAAGAGGCACAAATCTCAATTAAAATATAAATGAGTCATGGAGATAAAAGTATGGCATAGGGGATACAGTCGATAATATTATAATATCTATGTTGAGAGATAGTAACTATATACTTATTGGGGTGAACATTTAGTAATATAGAAAACTGTCAAACTTGAAACCAATATAATATTGTATATTAACTGTACTTCAATTAAAAATAATTTTAATGAAAAAGAAAAATTTCAGGTAGCATCTGAATAAAAGATTATTTGTTTTTAATTGTTTGGTGATCTTAATATATATAGTATATAACTAAAGTGACTACAAACCTTTATTGAGAAATCGGCAGATTATAAACATATTTATTCTTCTTCCTTAGTTGTTTCAAAATTCAAATTTACTCATAAGAAAGCATCAGTTTCATGCTAGATCTGGTTTAACTAATTCCATTTGCCATTCATTTTTATCACACACAAAAGAAAGGCTATTTGTGACTAAAATAATGTGGTCTGGAAAATAAAAGTTAAGGTCTCTTTAGAAAAAAATACAAAAATATCAAAACTGGATTATACCAAATTTATATATTCAGGAGAATGTGAAACTTGTGCCATTGGTTGTTAAAGGGTTTTATAAAGATTTTTTAAAAATTACATTTGGTCACAAAATTATAGGCTTGATTTTAAATTCTGGGTTAACTATGATTTGGAAAATTAGATACACATTATAGCAAACACAAGATGTTTTTCTAAAATGTTCCACCTAGTATAGCATCTTACTATGCTGATGGACAGTGACTGTAATGGGGAATGTGATGGGGACTTGATAATGATGGGAATCTAGTAACCACAGTGTTGTTCATGTAAGTGTATACTAATGATACCAAAAATAAAATAAAATAAATAAATACAAAAAAATAAACAAATAAAATGTTCCACCTACGATCAATAAAATTCTTGGCAGCGTTCTTTCATAAAGATTACAGAGACTTTAAGTTTTTTAAATCATGAAATCAAGAAGCAAGGTTTTTACTTGATTCAATAACTTAAGGTAAGAATTTGCAAGAGAGAAGGGAAAAAGGGGAAAAAATGAAATTGCGAAGACATTTTGTTTCTTATAGCATGCAAGTATAATTCTTCATTTAAAAAAATATTATCACTCCAAAGTCACTGCTAAAATTGTCATCCAAGTTTGCACTCCAGATTTCCACTGACGTGTTTCTAGTAATCAACCAGGAAAGATAGGCAAAATAATGAACTTAATGAAACACAGACAATAAAGTTGGTCTATTTAAGAAAATTGAAATATTAGCAACTTTTCCTTTAAATTTATTATTTCCACATTCTATAAATTCTCATAATCTTGTATTATGAAAAAAATTGTATTAGAACAATTATAGTCCTCCTAGTATGCTAAGGAGTTATTAACTCATTATAGTTAATACTTGTTATTATCACCATATCACACAATGAGGAAAGATTTTAATTTTAGCACACTGGAACACATAGGGGTGTAAGTTCTAACAGCATTAAAAAAAAAACAAGATAAAAAGGGTTACCAATTCTAATAGTAGCTTTTCCTTTTCGACCACTTCCCAGAATTATAGTTTTCTTTTTTTGTCTAGCAGTTTTGAATGGTTCCTTCATTGATGGAGAAGTTATCCACTGATACTGAAAGAGAAATAATAAGTACTTCACTTCAGTTACAGATATTTATGAAGGTCTGATCTTAATTGGAAACTATTAAGATATTTTAAGTTAATAAAATGTTGGCAATCTGCATTTCTGGGACCCCAAATTAAAAATCACACAGTATTTTCAAAAACAGAAAAGCCATTTTGACTAACGCCTTCACTTAAAATGGCAGAAAAGTGCCTTGATAATTTTATTAGAAAAAGGAAGTAAAACAGCAATTAAAGAGAAACCTTTCCTACAGAAGTTAAGCATGTTATACCTCTGACTTGGCACTCCTTCCATTCTGGAGAACTTTTTTGATAACTGCTTTCATCACAGAATGATCTAAAGCAAAATAAATGGAAATTATAGTAACTGATTCCCAATGAGTAGCTATTCCCATTTAAAAACAAAAGCCAACTAATTATTGCCTTTCCCATAAAATTACATTATGTAATTATATGCGTTTGGAATATTTCCATTTGGAATATTCTAATACCTTAAAACCTAAGATGAAAGTGTGCCATTTACATATTGCCCCCAGTGGCTACTGATCATCAGCAAAGATCAAATCTCAACACTGTGTATCTAAAGTGGCTTTGGACAGAAAGGTGAGTCTCAGTACCGCCCAGACTGTTAGATGGCTAACTGGCACCTAATACAGCAAACCAAAATCCTGATATTCCCTCAAAACTGCTCCTCTCCTCAGCCCCTTCTCTTCAGTAGGTGGTATCACCTGGTTGCACACACAGTCATCCAGTTGTTGTTTATTACTATTTCTTTCACATTCGGCATCTAGTCTATCTGCAAGTCTTATTAGGTACACCCTCAAAAACAACCTGAATTCAACTACTTTTGATCAGCTCCAACCTTCTACTCTAGGCCAAGTGAAAACACCTCTTATTTGGACCACTCTGCTGGCCTCCTAACTGGTCTCCCTGTTTCCCTCCCTTTTTGCCACAAGGCTATTCTCTATACCAGGGTCATCCTAATGATGACCATCCTAATGATCCTATACAGATTATGCCTTTTTCCAGCTCAAAACCCTGTGTCCATTTAGAATAACCCATGTCCTTACTCTGGCCTTCAAAACCTTACAAGATCAGGCTACGCCCTGACATCGCAGCATACCTCACGCAGTGCCCCAGCCATGCTGGCCTCCTTGGTTTTCTGTGAGCACTCCATCTACCCTACCACCTATGTGCCTGCTTACCCATTGCTTCCTTGTCCTGGAATGGCTTGCTCCTCTTTTCAGTCAGGTCTACCCTTAAATGTTACTTTTTCAGTGAAGCTGTCCCCTGACAAGCCCAATATAGCCTACCTACCCTCCTCAGTCTCTTAATCTTAAGGTATTTTTGTACTTCCTACTCCCTAAAATAACATGGTTATCTATTTACTTATTTCTATGTGAACTCCTTCACTAGAATGTAAGCTCTACAAGGGCATGACTTAGCCTATCTGGTTCACTGCTATATTCCTGTGCCAAAACCCTTGTCTGACACCCAGAAAGTATTCAAAAATTACATGTTAAACTGATGAATGAAATACTCTTTCCAAGAATTCAGATTTTTCAAAAAAAAGAAAGAATGCTCTTGGTGGAAGCAGGCTTATCATCTAGGTTCACTTCTACTCACAGTAGTAGCCAAGAGCCATTTACAGGTATAACTCATTTTATTGCTTTTTATTAAGGTATCATTGATATATACTCTTATGAAGGTTTCACAAGAAAAACAATGTGGTTATTACATTCACCCTTATTATAGAGTCCCCCACTCCCACCCCATTGTAGTCACTGTCTATCAGTGTAAGATGCTACAGAGTCCCTATTTGCCTTCTCTGAGCCACACTGTCTTCCCTGTGACCCCCACACACACCATGTGCACCAATCATGATACCCCACAATCCCCTTCTCCCTCCTTCCCACCTGCCCTCCCCCACCCTCCCGTTTGGTAACCGCTAGTCCCTTCTTGGAGTCTGTGAGTCTACTGCTATTTTGTTCCTTCAGTTTTGCTTCATTGTTATACTCCACAAATGAGGGAAATCATCTGGTATTTGTCTTTCTCTGCCTGACTTATTTCACTAAGCATAACAGGTATAACTCATTTTAATCAGCAAATTATCTGCTAAAAACTGAAAGGAAGTTCAAGATTAGTAAGACTAGGAAAGTAAATACATTAGGTTTTAGAATTGTCAATACACAAACACATTCTTTTTTGTTTGCTATATGTTAATCAATTAAAAAAATGTGGTGACATACCAACGAGAGGATTTTTTCTTATATCCAGAATGACTAGGGTTCCATTGGTTTCAAGGGCCTTTAGTAAAGCCTTTGCTCCTTCCCCGGTAAGGCCACACTGCTGCAGGTCAAGTGCTTTTGATGAAAGAAAAGGTCACTTGCCATATCTATACAGACTTAATAGACAGACAACTCTCACTTATTCATGAATGGAAGGTTCCTGCACAAGACTAGTCCTGGCAGGGTTTCTGGGGTATGGAAAAAATAAAAACAGAAAAATATATGCATGTACATAATACAAAATACAATAAAAAACTCTTCTTGCATGTGCCGTGATTATCCTGACTTTAGTACCAATAGATCACCCAATATATTTTACAGTTACAGACTTGAAGAATGACTCTATATAATCTGTCATCAAAAAACATCCCCAAATGAATCTCAGTCATAGTTAGCAAGGCTGCTAGTAACAGTGTAAACCTTATAAGAAAAAATTGGGTGGAGCTCAGATATTGCACTATAGGCTTTTGATCATGATCTTAAGCTCTTAAAACTAGTTAAAAGGGGAAAACAAAATAGAAGAAATGTAGAAACTGTTAGTTTTGGAACAAAAAAGATAAAGGAATCTAAGAGGATACAAATAATGACAAATCCAAAGAATATGAGTAAATAGAGAACATATGCTAAAAACCTATCATAAAAGAATGCTGCTCAAGAACTCTCTCATGGTAAAAGGTCAAAGAATAAAACAAATGATCACAAATACTAGGAGTTGTGAGGTTGAACCACCTGCTCATTTAAACCGAAGAGATTATCACAAAAGCATAGGCATAAAAATTTTACATAAGAGGAAATGATTATATAAGCCTTTTAAGTGTTGTGTATACCATTATATTAACACAACTGGAGTCTTTCAAAACCCCATGACACATGGAAATACAAACGTATGTGTACCTGACGGAATATGATGGAACCCTTACAAACTTACTACAGAAGAAAGGACAAAGGATATAATGAACCAACAAGCCAAATTAATAAAAGTATCCAGTAAATCTCACTAGTAAATCATGTGAATATAAATTAAAACAATAAAATGTGTGTGACTGCTCTCTCAGATTAGGCTAAGATCATATAAAAGCCTTTTGACCCAGCAACTTTTTCTAAGAATTTAAACAAAGGAAATAGCCAGAGATGTAGGCAAGGATGTGTACAGGAATGTTGTTTTTAACAGTAGAAACTGAAAATACCTCACATAGCAAATAAAAACAAACAAGCTAAGTATACTGTGGTGTATTCATATAATATAACTCTATACAGTCACTAAAAATGATGTGGTATGTAAATTTATCGACTTTTTAAGATGCTCATACTACATTAAGTGAAAAAAAGTTGCGAAATTTTGAGTAATCCCACTTGCATTAACAAAAGGGGTGGCTCATTTCTGTAGTTTTACAGTTTTTGTAAGGGTTCAGGCCTAGGGTAGACTGTAAACTAGCATAGTATTTCTGGACCTAAATTTGGTGACATGTACCAAAGTCTTAAAAACATGTCACACTTAGTCATTCCACTTCTAGTAACATATTCTATAGAAGTAATCCTGATGGACACACAGATGTACACATAAAGCATTCACTACACATTGATTCTGACAGGGAAAAGCACAAATGGTCTAAATCTAATTGGAAAGAATTGATTAAACTATTGCACATCAATAATAATGTAATGTTACATGATACATCAATAAGTGAAAAAGACAGGTATGAAATAGTAAGTACAATACTATTCCATTTTTGTAATCTCCAAATGTACAAAAGTATTTATAGGAAAGAAAAAAACTGAAAGAACGTACACTAAATTGAACAGTGATTATGTCTGTATTAAGATTATGGGTAATTTTGGTAGCATACAGAGAATATAACCAATCATATTATAGTATCTTGGTATGATAATGGGGTAACTACACCTGTTGTGGCAAGCATCTAGTAATGTATATAATTATTGAGTCACTAGGTTGTACATCTGAAACCAACATAATATTATGTATCAACTTTATTCCAATAAAAAAGATTATGGGTAATTTTGCTTTATTGTTACTCTTTATTTTCTATAAGGATATATGCAACTCTTAGAATAAGTTTAAAAAAGCTATTGAAAACAATGAAGCTTCTTAAAAAAAATCCTATGAGAACAATATTATGCCAAAAGCTAAGCATATTTAATATTAAAGAATTCAGTATTTTCAATTTTAGAATTTACCTCTAAGCCATAAATCCTCACTAAGAGATTCTGCAAATGCTCTTGCACCAAGGTCACCAATGAGTCTGTTGCAATTCAAGGTGATGCGCCTCAAACCAGCCATACAGTCAAGATCAGGTCTCCTGTAACGAAGACTCTCAGCCCAGGTTTCCTCATGTCTTCTCATGGTCTGATACTTTACAAGGATTTAATAGGATGAAATTAAGAAGCTTGAATAAGTAAACGGGGTATGCCTACTGAGCATGACTTAGAAATGTCAGAGATCTACACACACACACCAAGTGTATATGCCAAAAGAATTAACCTGAGAGATTCAACAGTCCATTCTGGCTTAGGAGTTCAATGACAGATTCCAGTCCGCCAGTGATTAGACTCTAGCCACTGGATGACCTGTTGTTAATTAGTTAGGTGCACTATGACGCTAAATTATATTCTATGAATTTTCTTTTCCTTACCTACCAAGTCAGAGAATTGGTTCCAAATTCTATCATTCTGTCATACAGTGGTCTGCAAACACTTGATTGGGCATCTCACAAGTAAACATTTCTTAAACATGAATCTTATGTATTAATAAACCATATACATGAAATTCTGTACATACATTTTATGTACATTATAAACTACACAGATATTTTTTAAATGTTACAAAAAATAAATGCAGAGGTTTTAATATTTTCTTCTAACCTAGTGGATCTCCCATACTACTTTGGGTATGTAAACCAACTTTAGAGGCCTGGAATAAGCAAAGCCAATTTGACATGCCTTAGGAAATTGATGGTTTGATTTTTAACTACAGACACTGCCTTAAAGACATATTCCATTTTTTTTTTTTACAGGCATACCTCAGAGATATTGCAGGCTCAATTCCAGACCACCAAAATAAAATGAATATTGCAATTAAGTGAGTTAAAGGAATTTTTTGATTTCCAAGTGCATATAAAGTAAAGTTTATAATATGCTCAGTCTATTAAGTGTGCAATAGCATTGTGTCTAAAAAAAACAATGTACATACCTTAATTTAAAAAAGATTTGCTAAAAAATGCTAACTATTCATCTGGGCTTTCGGAGAATCTTAATCACTGATCACAGATCACCTTAACAAATACTGAAATAATGAATGAAAATATTTGAAATATTGCAAGAATTACCAAAACATGACACAGAGGCATGAAGTAAGCTAATACTGTCGGGAAAATGGCACCAATAGACTTGGTTGACACAGGCATGCCACAAAAACTTCAATTTGCAAAAACACAGGTATCTGTGAAGCACAATAAAACCAAGTGCAATAAAACGAGGTATGCCTATGTTCATACAATTTTGATAACAGGGAACACTAAGTTTAAAAGAAAAAAATCTTACTACATGCTTGAAGAACAAAAGACTCAAAGTTCCTAAGGTATTATAAAAGGAAGATCATTACTGTTGTTTTCTATTAACAACTTATAAAAGCAACAAGCGGAAATGATAGCACTTAATTCGTGCTTACTTACATAGTGCTTATTATGTGCCAGGCACCATTTTATACAAATTAGTTCATTTGCTTTTCATAATAAGGCACAGAGATTAAGTAATTTGTACATGGTAATGAGCTATGAAATGGGAGAGCTAGAATTTGAACCTAGGGTATTTGGCTTCAAAAATCCATGCTCTTGATCATTTTCTATACCAGGAGTCAATGGACTTGCTCTGTACAGGCCCAAAGGTTAAGTTTTCCAGCTCTGTGAGCCATAAAATTACTAACTGACTGATGAAAGTGGCCATAGTTACTATGCAAACAAGTGGACGTGGCTATGATTTTTAAAAGGCTTTATTTACCAAAACAGATGATGGGCTGGATCTGGCCCAGCAGCCATACCTCTGGTCTGTACACTCAAACTATTAAAAGTAAGGCTTCATGTCAAATTACTAAGTAATTTTAGGCCTAAGTATAGTTGTTATAACTGTTGTAAAGGTAAGACATTATTTTAAAAACAATTTTAGAAAATGTTAATGTAGTAATACTTATTAGTCTATAAATTACAACAGTTATCAAATATGTGATTCATTTATCTGGGGACTATAATAGCATAAAGTTTCTTTACAATATCACAATAAATGTTTTCAACAGCTAAAAATACATAAAGGTATTGTTTATAATGTACTGCATAGTAAGTTTCTTATTTCTAAGATTCAGTGGACTACCTTAAATGGTAGAACCCCAAACTGAAAATGGCTCATATTCCTTCAACAAAACTAAAATTGCAATCACTGCATGCATCAAAAGACAAAAATAACTGCCACCTTGTATCAAAATATGAATGTAGTTAAATCACATATATGTTTTCATGGAAGTTTAAACAAAAAATTACCTTTAAGATCTTGGCCATGTGATCTGCTCCCTGCCATGTCAGATTACACCCTGTGAAATTTACTGTCTTAAGAGTGATTGAGTTCTTTATACCTTGACAAATAACTAAAAGAAAAAAACACACACATTAAGATGAAGAGCCTATACAGTTTGCTCAGTCTTTACATATTCACTCTTCTTGAATCTTCTGGAGGTTTACAGCTATATTCTTAAAATCATTATTGACAATCTTCCTGAGCAATTAATGGATTGGTGCATTCTGAAACATGTCAGTAACAAAGTGTTATTCCCATTTAAAGCAACAGTTTAATTCTATTTAGATGCTAAAACTGAATACACTAAATATTGCAAACTTTATGCCCGACCATGCAATAATGTACTCAAAAGCCTTAGACTCTTACAATTTTCATTCCCAATGATACATCCTAATCTTGATTATCAGTCAACAATTTAAATGTCCACTATAAACCCAGAATTTTATGAGGGGCTATGCAATCTATTAGAGCAATATAAGATACAGGACCTCAAACTCTGTTCCCTTAAACTGAAATGCAGGCTTCCTTACCTTTCCAGGCCACTAGTGGAAATGGTGAACACACACTAATTCTCAGGACCCCAATCAACAGTCATGATACACCCTAACCAACACTACTGAATTTGCTGGCCTTATATGCCCCTATAGCACTTTGCATTTATTGCCTATTTTAGGATATACTATTGTGCATTATAATTGCACATGGATACTTTTTAAAGATAATGATGATTTTTTTCTCTTTATATCTTGCTATTTCCCTTTCTATATTTTTTGAAGGGAAACCATAAAAATACAAACAGCACAGAAAATAGAAAATCTAAAATAGTATGTATTTGTGTGGCTTGTGGCTTAACCCAGTCTTAAGTAAAATTAGTTCAAAGAGTATCCAGCGTAACAACTGAGACTGGACCAAAGTTTGAGAACCACAGGAGACGACCCAGGTAGAAGTAAAGAAAAGGTACAAATAGGAATTAACATGGCATGCAAGGAATCATGAGACTAGTCTGATGGGAAGAGACTTAAACAATATTTAAACTCACTTTCTAAACCTCCATCTCCAATTGGACAATTTGCAAGAGACAGGTGCACCAAAGTAGCTGATTTATTCAATCCCTTTAATGGGGAGAAAAAGTTAAAATATTTATTGGCTTAGTTTTCCCCAAAAGCAACTATCAAATGTTTGCAGGACACATTGGAGAAGGCTTACCTTTGTTAAAATAGTTAAATCTCTCTCTCTCAGAACTAGTCCATTTAGCTCCAGGCTCTTTAGAGCACTTGATACACTTAAACAGCATTTAAGAGCTTTACATAACTGGAAGGTCACATCTTTGTTTCTTATTGCAGGAACATGACGTCGGCAAACTTTATTTCTGTCACAACCTAAAGCAAAATTATTGTAAAATTAGTAATCTCAATCATGCCTTTTATCATCACTGAAAAGCACCTGCTCTGTGCTAAGGCACAGAAATGACTTCTGCCCTTAGGCCCTCTTTAAAAAGGGACACATGTAAACTAAAATCTTCAACCACATGAGATATAAAAACATGAACTATGTGCACAGAAGTTACTATGGAAGTAAAAAGTTGTATCTAAGTGATAACTTCAAGATAATCCTGAAGTTGAATCTGTAAAGATGAGAATAACTATACAGAGAGTGGGAGGTGCATTACCTGCAGAGGGAGCACAGGTGCAAAGACAACCAAGCCTGACACCTGCAGGGCACTGTAAGTAGTGTCTAAAAACCAGGGGTGCAAGTGAGAAGAGGCAGAAATTAGAGACGTTAGCTAAAGCAAGCCTGGGAGAGAGTTATGGCTTTTATCCCATAGGTGAGAAGGACCAACTGAATAAAGGCAATGACTAGAAAAAGCACCCCTTCCTCAGGGCCAATAAGTCCCAGGAGGCTTGGCAGACAGAGCACAGCTCAGATTTCATGCATCTGTACAGAACACAAGCTCTGCAACTAACACACACTAATCTTGTGCAGGACAGCCATTACAATCATTATTTTAAATGTACCTCTTCATTTTAGATCCCTCAAGCCGAGCAGCAGATGAACTTAAAGAAACTGAACTCAGGGACAGTAAAACCAGCTAGAAGCTTCCGCAATAGTTCAGGCAAAATGTAACTGAGGATAAAGAAGCAAGTTAAGATCTTAAAATCTACTACCTAGACTCACTGGATGCAACTGATAATAAAGGTTCAGCGAGGAACTCTGAAAAGAACAGTCTCTATAATACATTTTTCTTAAATTTAGTGTAAAATATTAGGCCTGATTAAGTACTGTGGTCCCTTCTCTTGACTCTAAGGTCCCTTCCATGCAATTTATTTTGATATCTGAGTTATTACTTTGGTTAAGTATTGCCCTTTCAGAGGTATAGAACAGTTCCTACACCTGAATGAGATGCAGAGAATAATTTGACTTCTCTTTGCCAGGAGATGTGTTCAATTATTGTTGCAGCAGAGAACAGATGGCACAAACCCCAGAGCCTAGAAGAGGGCCGGGCACATTTTTAGGTACATGTTCAGGTGTTTTAAATCAACAATCATTTTCTCTCCTAGATCTTCACATCCTTCCTCTCTGCTGGCTACTTTATCTTGGCTTATAAACATACTCCAGTGTGTCTATTTTAGAAAACACCTTTCAGACCTATGATTTTCTGGATCTTCGTTGTGGGTAACCTCAGTCTCTCCCATGTCTTTCCACTAAGCCCCAATCTGTACCTTGAGCCTTAACTTGACTACTAGTCATGTTTGAATGCCCCACAGGTACCTCTTAAATAAACAATTAAAGATGAAGTAAGGTCGTCTCCCCACTGCCAGTCCCTTCCTACTCTGCTCGGTGTCTCACAGAAAGGTGCTGCTGTAAACTGTCACCCAAGCTTGCTGCCCTCCCTCTTCTAACTGGTCACCAGACCCCATCCTTTCTGTCTCTTTAATCTCTGAAATCCAGTCCTTCCTTTGTATACCCTAATCTGGGCCCTTAGATTACAACTCACCCTCCCACCTCCCAATTAACTGCTTTCAGTGGAGGGCAGAGTAAGCTTCTAAATCAAATGTGCATCTCATCATGCTTGAGTGTTTCCCACAACCTTCAGGCTGAACATTCAACCTCTGACAGGACCAACAAGGCCCCTCCCTGTTTGGCCCCCACCACGTTTCCAGTCTCAACTCTCACTTCTTTCTCAAACCCTAAATTCTAATCCTGTGCCTTAGGTTTGCCATATTTTCTTATATTTCTCAAATGGTGACACAAACTGCTCCCTCCTGCCATCTAAGGAACTTCTACACATGCTGAGAAAGATGGCACCTCTTCCAAGAAGCCTTCCCTGAACCTTACCTCCTAATATTCTGTGCTATGCAGCACCAGAGCTCATTTCATCCAGAGACTCCTAGGCTTGTGTTAACGTGTTGGCCTCCCCCAGCAGACAGGAGACCTTCCAGGTCTGACACCTTGCTTCCAGCAGCGCTTGGTGCTGACTGAGCTCATTCAAGTGCCAGGATACTTTACATACATAACCTGCTTAATTCTAAGAATCCGAGGAAAGAGTGGTTTTTAATGTCATTTTACAGGTGAAAGAATTGTAGTTCACAAGTAACCTGCTCAGGAGTTCAAACCCTACGCTGCCTTCACACCTGTGTTCTTCCCACTATATGATTAAAAAAATTCTTTTTGTCTTCTAACAAAGCCCTGTCTTAATACAAATGAAATGAAGCAAAAGGCTGGATTTCCTTCTCAGTTTCCAGTCCGTTTCCTAATGGTTTTGTTCTTTATCAGCAGTCATTCAATGAGCCAAGTAACATCTGTCGAAGGCTTAATGCTGCCTAAACTAAGCGCTCTACAATTATTAACTTGGCGAATCCTTGCATTCATCATATAGAGTGAATCGTGTTAAGCCTATGTTGTGGATGAGAACACAGACCTACTAGCCTTAAGTGATCCGCCAAGGTTACCGCGCTCGGAAGAGTTCCAGGACGCACGCCCAGTCAACTGCACACATACCCCGACGCTAGGCAGGAGTTCCAGCGCCCAGGCCCTACTGCACCATCTAAAATCCCGCTTGCCGGCACGGACACGAGGGCCCCTGGAAGCGGGAACTACAAACCTGTTTCGCTAAGCCACGCCTGGAAGAAGCTTTTGACAGAGACCAGGGGGAGATCTCTATTAATCTTGAGGGTGCTCAGGAGCGGCGCCCAGTCCCCCAAGCGGAGGCGGTCGGCGTTGAAGTCCAGCAGGCCCTCCCGGAGGCAGGCGCGCACACCGGGCAGGGGCACCGAGTCCTGCAGCGCGCACAGGTATTCATAATGCGAGAAGAAGTCTGCAGCTCCTGCGCGGCGCAGCTTCACCGAGTCGATCATGGCCAGACGGCGGCCTCGGCGGACGCCGCCCGCACCTGCCTGGGAGCCCCGGCGGCCAGGGCCCGGCCGGAAGATGCAAGGCCGAGCCTCAGCTACACCAACCCCTCCACGCCGCGCTTCCGCGCCGGTTCCCGCGCCGACTCCCGCCCCGCAGCGCCGGCCGTTGGCGTCCGCCTCTCCGTCCTCGGCTGCGCCGGGCTCAGGTTCAAGCCTCGGGGCGGGTGCCCGCGGGGGCGGTGCGCGAAGGCGTCAGCGCGCTCGCTGTGCGTCAGCACGCAGGCTCCGCTTCTCCTGCGGACCCCGCCGGAATACCAGCCGCGGGATCTTCAAGAGTAGGAAGGCGCGGGAGATAAGTGTTTTTCGGAATTCGCGGTTCGCGAGTAGGGTTCACTGACTGTTCCAGTACAAGTGAGATATGGGTGTAGCAACACATTTAAAAAAGTGATCTAAACTCCCGACGGGTGTCTGTGCTTGTACTGCCGGGAGAGGACCCTCAACAAGAAATGAGTGAAAGGATGTCCGCTGTGGTCCATTAATATTCCACGTCTGTGTTAATTTCTACACATTCCTCTTAATTTCTGGAGTCGCCACTTACCCAAAGGGTTATTGGCATATTGTAAGTGTTGTGTGAATTCAGGACATTGTTGTGATTACTAATAGTGGCTTGGTACTGCTGCTGGTGGTTAACACCCATAGAACTAGTGCTTTCTCCCTCCTAAGCATTATTTTAAGCGCTGTCTAAGGATGAAATCATTTAATTTTCCTAACAGCTCCACAAGTGATGTACAATTGTATATCCACTTTACAAAAGGGGAAACAGAAGCACCGGCAGTTAAATAACTTAGAGCTAAGTAAGTGGAGGAACCCAGATAATTGACCTCATTACCTGTATTTATATCCAGTGTCTAGTAGAACAGTGATAGGCCTTTGATTAGACATTAGGCGTGATGTTTACAGCATTCCTTTTACACTGCAGAACCATACTAAAATGGAGTCACCTATGTCAGGTACAAAATGGAAGTGGTCAATATAGGCCCATAAAGGAAACTTAACCTAACCACAGGAATTTACTGCTTTAATGAGAAATCAGCAGAGGACACCAGCCAATCCCCAAATGCCAAGTTTGTTCACACCATCTCTGGACTTTCTTCTTCCCCTGACTCAGTTACCCCAATTCACATAAGAAATAAGACTGCTAGGCAACCAGTCAGCTGAGGACAGCACAAAACCTCTGTCTTTGCCTCAGAAAAATCTCTTAGCCCATGAGCAACTCAGAACTCATGGCTCCCATAGCTTTGAGTTTTCTGGCTTATACCACAAAAGTCTGGCAATAAACTCATCTTTCTGCTTTCAGGACCTGTTTTCAGAGCAGTGAGGATCTAGTCACAGAACCATGTCAATCTGGTCAGCAACAAAGGCCGTCTTACTTTTTTTAAATTTTTTATTAAGGTATGATCGATATACACTCGTATAAAGGTTTCACATGAAAAAACAATGTGGTTACTACATTTACCCATATTATCAAGTCCCCACCCATACCCCAATGCAGTCACTGTCCGTCAGTGCAGCAAGTTGCCAGAGATCCTCTGAGTCCCTTCTGTGTGCTACACTGTTCTCCCCGTGATCCCCCACACCATGTGTACTAAACATAATACCCCTCAATCCCCTTCACCCTCCCTCCCACACCCCTCCCCTTTGATAACCACTAGGTCATTCTTGGAGTCTCTTGAGTCTGCTGCCGTTTTGTTCCTTCAGTTTTGCCTCATTGTTATACTCCACAAATGAGGGAAATCATTTAGCATTTGTCTTTCTCCACCTGGCTTATTTCACTGAGCATAATGTCCTCCAGCTTCATCCATGTTGTTGCAAATGATAGGATTTGTTTCTTTCTTATGGCTAAATAATATTCCATTGTATATATGCACCACATCTTCTTTATCCATTCATCTACAGATGGACACTTAGGTTGCTTCCATATCTTGGCTATTGTAAAAAGTGCTGCAATAAACATAGAAGTGCATAGGTCTATTTGAATCTGAGAAGTTGTATTCTTTGGGTATATTCTAAGGAGTGGAATTCCCAGATCAAATGGTATTTCTATTTTTAGGTTTTTGAGGAACCCCCGTATTGCTTTCCACAATGGTTGAACTAGCTTACATTCCCACCAGCAGTATAGGAGGGTACCCCGTTCTCCACATCCTCGCCAACATTTGTTGTTTTTAGTCTTTTTCAACGCTGGCCATCCTTACTGGTGTGAGGTGATATCTCACTGTGGTTTTAATTTGCATTTCCCTGATGATTAGTGATGTGGAGCATTTTTTCATGTGTCTGTTGGCCATCTGAATTTCTTCTTAGAGAACGGCCTCTTCATATCCTCTGCTCATTTGTTAATCAGGTTATTTGCTTTTTGGGTGCTGAGGTGTGTAAGTTCTTTATATGTTTTGGATCTTAACCCCTTGTCGGATATGTCATTTACAAATACATTCTCCCATACTGTAGGATGCCTTTTTGTTTTGTTGATGATGTCCTTTGCCATACAAAAACTTTTTAGTTTGATGTAGTCCCATGAGTTCATTTTTGGTTTTGTGTCCCTTTCTCCAGGGGATGGGTTCAGGAAGAAGTTGCTCATGCTTATATTCAGATGTTTGCCTATGTTGTCTTCTAAGAGTTTTATGGTTTCATGACTTACATTCAAGTCTTTAATCCATTTCTAGTTTCCGTTTGTGTATGGAGTTAATCAGTAATCCAGTTTCATTCTCTTGCATGTAGCTGTCCAGTTTTGCCAACACCAGCTCTTAAAGAGACTGTCATTTCCCAATTGTATGTCCATGGCTCCTTTATCATATATTTATTGACCATATATGGTTGGGTTTATATCAGGGCTCTCTAGTCTGTTCCATTGGTCTATGGGTCTGTTCTTGTGCCAGTACCAAATTGTCTTGATTACTGTGGCTTTGTAATAGAGCTTGAAGTTGAGGAGCATAATGCCCCCAGCTTTATTCTTCCTTCTCAGTATTGCTTTGGCTATTTGAGGTCTCTTGTGGTTCCATATGAACTTTACAACTATTTGCTCTAGTTCATTAAAGAATGCTGTTGGTATTTTGATAGAAATTGCATTGAATCTATAGATTGCTTTAGGCAGGATGGCAATTTTGACAATATTAATTCTTCCTATCCATGAGCACGGGATGTGTTTCCATTTATTGGTATCTTCTTTAATTTCTCTCATGAGTGTCTTGTAGTTTTCAGAGTATAGGTCTTTCACTTCATTGGTTAGGTTTATTCCTAGATATTTTATTCTTTTTGATGCAATTGTGAATGGAATTGTTTTCCTAATTTCTCTCTCTGCTAGTTCATTGTTAGTATATAGGAATGCCACAGATTTCTGTGTATTAATTTTGTATCCTACAACTTTGCTGAATTCAGATATTAGATCTGGTAGTTTTGGAGTGGGTTCTTTAGGCTTTTTTATATACAATATCATGTCATCTGCAAACAGGGACAGTTTAATTTTTCCTTGCCAATCTGGATGCCTTTTATTTCTTTGTGTTGTCTGATTGCCGGGGCTAGGACCTCCAGTACTATGTTGAATAGAAGTGGGGAGAGTGGGCATCCTTGTCTTGTTCCCAATCTTAAAGGAAAAGCTTTCAGCTTCTCGCTGTTAAGTATAATGTTGGCTGTGGATTTGTCATATGTGGCCTTTATTATGTTGAGGTACTTGCCCTCTATATCCATTTTGTTGAGAGTTTTTATCATGAATGGGTGTTTGGTCAAATGATTTTTCAGCATCTGTAGAGATGATTATGTGGTTTTTGTCCTTCTTTTTGTTGATGTGGTGGATGATGTTGATGGATTTTTGAATATTGTACCATCCTTGCATCCCTGGAATAAATCCAACTTGATCATGATGGATGATCTTCTTGATGTATTTTTGAATTTGGTTTGCTAATATTCTGTTGAGTATTTTTGCATCTATGTTCATCAGGGATATTGGTCTGTAATTTTCTTTTTTTGTGGTATCTTTCCCTGGTTTTGGTATTAGAGTGATGCTGGCCTTATAGAATAAGTTTGGAAGTATTCCCTTCTCTTCTATTTTTTGGAAAACTTTAAGGAGAATGGGTATTAGGTCTTCACTAAATGTTTGATAAAATTCAGCAATGAAGCCATCTGGTCTGGGAGATTTGTTCTTAGGTAGGTTTTTGATTACAAGTCAATTTCTCCAGATTTTCTGTTTCTTCCTTGGTCAGCCTTGGAAGGTTGTATTTTTCTAGAAAGTTGTCCATTTCTTCTAGGTTATCCAGTTTGTTAGCATATAATTTTTCATAGTATTTTCTAATAATTCTTTGTATTTCTGTGGTGTCCATTGTGATTTTTCCTTTCTCATTTCTGATTCTGTTTATGTGTGTAGGCTCTCTTTTTTTCTTGATAAGTCTGGCTAGGGGTTTATCTATTTTGTTAATTTTCTCAAAGAACCAGCTCTTGCTTCCATTGATTCTTTCTATTGTTTTATTCTTCTCAATTTTATTTATTTCTGCTCTAATCTTTATTATGTCCCACCTTCTACTGACTTTGGGCCTCATTTGTTCTTCTTTTTCTAGTTTCATTAATTCCGAGTTTAGACTGCTTATATGGGATTGTTCTTCTTTCTTGAGGTAGGGGCCTATATAGCAATACACTTTCCTCTTAGCACAGCCTTCCCTGCATCCCACAAATTTTGTGGTGTTGAATTATTGTTGTTATTTATCTCCATATATTGCTTGATCTCTGTTTTTATTTGATCATTGAACCATTGGTTATTTAGGAGCATGTTGTGAAGCCTCCATGTGTTTGTGGGATTTTTCCTTTGCGTAATTTATTTCTAGTTTCATAGCTTTGTGATCTGAGAAACTGGTTGATACAATTTCAATATTTTCGAATTTACTGAGGCTCTTTTTGTGGCCTAGTATATGATCTATTCTTGAAAATGTTCCATGTGGACTTGAGAAGAATATGTATTCTGTTGCTTTTGGGTGTAGAGTTCTGTAGATGTCTGTTAGGTCCATCTGTTCTATTGTGTTGTTCAGTGCCTCTGTCTCCTTACTTATATTCTGTCTGGTTGATCTGTCCTTCAGAGTGAGTGGAGTGTTGGAGTCTCCTAGAATGAATGCATTGCATTCTATTTCCCCTTTTAATTCTGTTAGTATTTGTTTCACATATGTGGTTGATCCTGTGTTGGGAGCATAGA